GTAAACTAATCCTCTTGACTACTCAAAAAAACTCAGCTTGTTTGGTTCAATTTTACAAAAGTTATTGAAGAGAGATAAGATGTTACTAATGGCATAAAATTCAATCTATAAAATTATTGAGAGATCGCGCGTAACGCCGCTGATTACGTAACTACGCACGCGCCGATTTCAATTGACGGATGACATTGCATGCCGTTCTGTGCGAATAGAAAAGTGTAATCTTTGATTTCGTTCTTCTTTCTAGAACACTATGCGATATAATACGTAACGCGAACGTTAAAAGATGACAGTGAAAACATCTACTAATATGAAACATTGGTGATACTCGGTCCTAGTGACTAAGCGTTTTCATAATAACGATAATGAATTCTGCTGAATCTTTCAAAAATTCTTTATCACTCTACACGTCAAAAATTGTATAATCGAATGATCCCTGAGATCCACTTGAAGATAATGCAATTTGTTCACGATTATTGATTGAAGTTTTCTATTTTTCTAAGCTCTATGAAACTGTAGGAATAGGCATAAGTATCATAATATCACTTAAATAGCGATAAGTTCATGTGTTTATAGATATAACACCAGCTAGATAAGGATAAAAGTAATATTGAATGGATTTCACATTTCTATTTTCTACGCTTAGAGTACTATACGATAAAATTATCGCCGCGAATTATCTTCCCATATATTATATAATAATAACAATAATCATACATTATACTTTATATTATATAATAATAGCAATATCATAAATTATACTTATTCATTGTATTGTTTATCACCCGTTCCCGTGCTTATCAAACAATTTAAAGAGCTACAATATAGTGTGCTACGCAATGTATGCAACACAATTATAGAAACGAATTTGCAAGTAACGTGTTCTATGTATAAAGGCGACAGTACATCACGATCGACTAAACTGGCTAGTGACTGACAGTCCCTCGGTGCATAAAGATCAACTACAGTTCGTGGATCAGTGAGAAATTCTTTTAAACGATAAAAAAATATGAAATATTACAAGATAGAGAGTATGAATTAATAAGTGAATTATTTACCTGACTTAGTGCATAGATCAAAAATCGGAATTGTCAAATTTGAATAGATAAACAGTAGCAGAGTTAAAGAATCGATCCCTCGCTGATATTCTTCGATTGTGCAACAAGTTAAATCGGAAAGGTCGAACTTATCACCGAAAGTCAGGCACGCAGCTAGCCTGTGTTCATCTTCCCTCCTTAAATATTCTCAACTTCGTTCATACGCGTTTAGTACAGCAGAATCAATTCTCCCAGTCTTTAATACATTATTAAAATCAGTAGTGATAACGTTAATTATTCTTGCTATAACAAGAATCAAATT